GCCACATTTTTACCTCACTTACTGAAGAGCTCTCGTGCTCGCTGGGGTATGAGATACATTTTTTATAATATAACTCAGTTACCGAAGAGCTTAATATCCGCTAGGGTATGAGTCTGTGTTAACATCATGTTGTTGATCTTTTAATGTGATCATTAAAACGTAGAGTCAATAAATAAATTTTTACGACCACTAAAAAATTTTTCTACAGAATATCTATTTATAATAAATATGTGGTTCACTCACATGTAGTTCTAAAACTAACAATATTGATCACAGAATTGTTCATAATTAAAAGAAAAAACAGCACAATCAAAATACAACATTAATAACATAATGAATCATACATACATTTTTGCTTTTTTTGGGCTCGCAACCTCAAATAATATATAAGGTGGATTTCCATGCCAAGTGAACGGCCTAAATGGTATATCAAGGATATCAAACATACTGCCCAGTCACTTCCGGTTGTGTAAATACTGATATATCGCCATACCTGCAGTGACCTGTTCCCAAAAAGTGTTGTTAAATGCCACTGGTTCTATATGCACCTGCGCCGTGTTTAGGAGACCTGGACCTTAATATATTACCTAAATATAGAATTTAGAGGGGTTACCTTGTGAACCTAATAGCTTTTTTTGGAGCTAGAGTGACTTACAATCCCTCTGTTAGCCTCACTGACAGAGGTCGCAGGGTCAAGGTATGAGTCACTAGATATATATTCGCCTCAGGTACAGGGGAATGCACTCAATTTACTGCTTAACTGTGCCTATTGACTGATTATATATTTTTTATATACTTTGTTGCTTTTTTTTTATTATTAAATACAGATAAATAAAAAAGTTTTAGAAATTGATTAGCAACATGTGTAACACTTTTTAAAGGATTTTTTTCAGGAATTCCTACAGGTTCACTTTTAAAAGCATTCCTTGGGCAATAAGGTTAATAACCTGGTTCTGTTCAACTGATTCTTCTTCTAGAATCATTTCAACATCCCTTTCTGCTGTCCCATAGGAATCAATGTTCACTTCTTTAGAGGTGTGTCAAAATATGTTTGTAGGGTGCAGAAGCTGCTCAGCAACTGCTAACTCTGCATGTGAGTGAGTTCATGATAGAACCAACAGTCTGCACACAAATAAGCCAAATCAATACTGTTCAAAAAGCAAAAGAAACGCAATGTTATCCAATGGTTCTTTACTATTAAACAAACAAACACAAATTTTTAACTGAGGAGTAGATAAAAAATGCTTACGCAGCACTCAATTGGGTGAACAACTCCATATACTCTGTGTCCGTAAAGTCATTGTGCACTTTTGACTGGTCACAGGAAAGCAACAAAAGAAGACAGAAATGTGAAATCTGCACCAAATAACAGGAAAACTCGTCAGGTTTCATAATTAAGTTGAGTTGAGTTGAGTTGAGTTGAGTCAAGAATTGACATAACAGCACTCAGGGTATTCCCATGCGTGCTCCATCCTCATCTTCAGCAGCCAGGGCAAAGTTGCAATACTGATGGTACCGGTCACAATCTAGTTATATCTCAGTCTTGCCTTTCCTCTGAGTGTGGTGAGTCGGCCAGACCCTCTGGTTACACTCAGGTGCCTCATTCTCTCCAGGCCACAACAATTTTGTTTATTTACTGATTCCGATGCTTGTTCCCAAAGGGCCTTGACCACATCTGCCTTGTCATGTATCAATTCACCACCCAGTGGTGCAGATCCAGCCAATCTGTCTGCCTGTTCATTACCCACTAGGACGGCATGGCCTGGAGAAAAGATTAAAAGTTCCATGTTTTGTAGTATGATGTGCAAGTGCGTGTGCACTGAATAGGTACAAAACTTGGAGAGTTTTCCTTTTATTTGGTGCAGATTTCACATTTCTATCGTGTTTCGTTGATTTCCTGTGACCGGTCTAAAATGCAACATGACTTTACGAACACACAGTAAATAGCCAAAAAGCTGAAATAGAAAAAACAGACAATAGGAAGTCTGACACAAAACAGAACCAGACAACAAGCAGTCTGCCTGACAAACAAGAAATTATGTCCGTAATTGCATATCACAAATAGTCTTGAAATATATTTACATACATTATAAATTAAGCTTATTAGTTTCTCAAATTCTTATTGCTGATTCAACCATTTTAACATAACTTTCAATGCACACATAATACAAATCACACTGTATGTATGAATGAATACAGAAACTCAAGCCAAACTTATATTCTAATGATGACTCATTAAAAAAAACTTCTAGCCATTAATTAAAGTTTAAGTTTAAAAACAAAACAAAAACTTTAACCGTGGCCATTAATTATTCATAATTGCCATTAATGTATTTCAAAGCTGACAGATTAATTTAAATTTATTATTTTCATACGGATCACATAAAATTCATGAAAAGATACAGTATTTATGTATACAACACACATATTTCAATTTTGAATACAAAATATTTACATTAAATTCTGCAGCTTTGCATGGCAAAATTTTCTCAAAAAATATAATGGTATGTAAAAAACAACCAAACAACTGCAATATGATACACACATACACATATTCAACAGTCAGATGAGACACACGTGTGATATTAGGAAACGTATTTGTTGCAGTCAAATGAAGAACACAATCTAGGTATACCACTGAACAGATGAATCCAGCAATCAAGAATTGATATCACTGCAGCTGAGACATTTGCACATATGCTCCATTTCCTTCCTTAGCTAGTTAGTTGTGTATCCTTTACAGGACATTGCAGAAACAACCCTAGCATATTTTGGCTGTTGTGGTTTTTCTAGGCAAATTTACGTCTAGAAGTTTGCCATTGCTTTCTGGATGGTTGGCTTCTCGATACCACTGTTGAAACCAACGCTTGGCGCAAGGCCCGCAGCTGGGATTGAACCCGTCACCTGGGCATTACGAAGCGCGTTCACAACACCTAAGCCACAGATGCCGACCCTTCCTCAGTAGCCAGGTAACAGTTCCAGTGCAAACAGTGCCAGTTGTAACCTCATTAAATGTCCGCCTGTTTTACCCTCAGTATTGAATGTCACTCTTAAATGCTTCCGGCTCACTACACTCAGAGGAAAGGCAAGACGGACATATAACCAGATTGTGACTGGTACCATCAGTATTGAAACTCTGCGCTGGCTGCTGAAGATGAAAACGGAGCACACATGGGAATGCCCTGAGTGCTGAGATGTCAATTCTTGAATCAACTCAACTCAACTCTTGAATGCTTGTTAGAGGTACATCACTCAGTGTTAAGACCTACTTTTGGTACAGCATTCCCACATGTGCAAGGAGCCATAAAGCATCTATGCGGGACATGAACGATACAGATACTGAAGTAGACTCGTAAGAACAAAATGTCATGGACTGTGTTGTGTGAAGGGGGCACATCGGGAAGGGAATGAGAGTGAAGGAAGACATGACCGAAGAAAGCATGAGAGCTCAGTATTTGAAAAGAAAAACACTAAACACAAACGTTGATAACAACGATCCTGAAATCCCATGCTATAACTGTGGAAGACTTTTCTTAACCAAGCGGGTCTTACTAGTCACACTCATCATCGCTATGGGCTGTGATTCCCATGCCTCCTCATAGCACGATATAACATTATCGTCTGGGAATCGGAAAAGTGCCAATCATTAAAGCTTTGAAGCACAAGCAGTAGGACAAAAGGCAGGAAACTATATCTAACTCCTCTCTGTGATGCTTCATTTCATAAGCAGTGGGATCAAAGCAGAAGACAGAAATTAGACATTCATGCAGGTAATTTGTTGGTTTTACAGACAGATTCAACTTAACATGAGAACAGAAATATGCTCAGATACAAATGTGGGTGACACAAGTTTAACTTAACATAAGAACAGAAATATGCTCAGATACAAACGTGGGTGACACAAGTTTAACTTAACATGAGAATAGAAATCTGCTCAGATACAAATGTGGGTGACACAGGTTCAACTTATCATGAGAATAGAAATATGCTCAGATACAAATGCAGGTGACACAAGTTTAACTTAACATGAGAATAGAAATCTGCTCAGATACAAATGTGGGTGACACAAGATTCAACTTAACATGAAAATAGAAATATGCTCAGATACAAATGTGGGTGACACAAGTTTAACTTAACATGAGAATAGAAATCTGCTCAGATACAAATGTGGGTGACACAAGATTCAACTTAACATGAAAATAGAAATATGCTCAGATAAAATACAACCCAGTCATTAAAGGGGACTAAATTCAGGACCACTGTACTGATAAGTGATTTTACTAATAACTACACCATCTTGGCTCTTATGTACACATATACATACATACAACAGCTTTATAGGTAAGGTGACCAGGCGTCCCACTTTTACCACAGAGTCTCATTTTTCAGGTATACCTCACTGTCCCATTGGTGCTCCAAAAAGCGCCAATTGTCCAGTTTTGTACAAATCCAGGAATAAGCTCAAGGACAGACACTTATATCTTTCGACCCTATTACATTTAATAGTTTTCAGATACTTTTAATGCCTGAAATGTTTTAATGGGAATTTCCAGTGAGCGTGTTATTTTTTTTTCAGCACAATTAAAGAGCGACATTGTTTTGTTTATTTCTTGGCCACAAGGGATCAGGTTTTTCCACCACTGTCAAGCAAGTAATTAACCCTTTCATTCCAACGACCTGGTAAATAAAAGGGGGAAGGGGGAGGGGGGGACTATGACAAATAGACTTGACAAACCTCAGATTATTGCCAGAAAGCCTGGCATATGATACATCAACACCTAGTTTAGTTTGAGAATGGAGGTGGAGGCAGTCACTGCAGCTTTATGCTGGCTTGAGATCCAGATGCCCTGAGCTGAGAACCTTGTGGGATCTTTGAGAGGAACTGATAGCACTTATAGAGATATATTTGTGTCAAACAGACATGATCCTTTACCAAACAAAAAAGAAAAGAGATAAATCAGCCACGTGCTAATATCAGAACAGAGATAGTGGGACACATGCTAGTATCTGTACAACATGCTCCGGTAAGGATCCTGCATCTGGCTGTCTGCAGCAGCTGATCTGCTCATGATGTTTCTCTCTTGTGGGACTGCTGCAGGAGCTACAGGGTGAGTATGAGCCAGTTTGGAAGCACCTGCATACTGACGCTCATCCAAAAAAGAATACGGTGTATTCTGGGGATACAAGCCTCGGTGAGCCGTGCTGGCATAGTCTCTTTCAAACATTGCATGCTGGGAAGTTGCAGGGTGGGCCAGGAACGCACTGTTCACATTGTCTGGCATGTGCTGGGGGTGGTAACCCATGGGACTGCCTGAGTAGATGTTGAAGCTTGAATTAACACTGGGCAGCCCAGGAAACATGTCAGCTGATCCACTTGTGGAAGGCAATCCCCGAAAATCGGAAATGGCCGCAGAAGTCGAGGTCTGACGATATCTGTCATCAAATGGTTTTGTTGCTGATGTGTGGACTGACCTGCTGTAGTCAAAGGAACCTGTGGAACTCCCGTAAGGTGTCTTGGCATTGGGGAAATAGTTACTGAGGTCGAATCGGTCCAGCTGGAAGGAGTCCTGGCTTTGGGTGGAGAGAGAGGAAAACATATTTCTATCAGCAGCTGGGCGAATGGATGGGTCAAACATGAAGTTTCTTCCAGGTTAAGTAACTGTCTTTTGTGGGGAAAAAAGATCCTGTAGTGGACATGTTCGGCTGGCGTGGAAGGTATGGTGGCTGCCAGTGGGTTGGTCGCATCTCCTGGCCGGCCCAAGTGTTTGCAAATGGATGCCTGGGAACCGCTTGTGTCATGGCTGGAGAAGAAAACATATCTGAGGCTGGGATGGTTCCAGGTCGCCGCAGCAGAGATGACGAGGAGCTGGACCTCAAGTGGGTCGTGTCAGGTGCCCGCGATAAACTGCTCTTGTCAGAGTGTGGCGGGAGGAACGGTGTGGTCATTGCTTGGCGCTGAAACATGGCTTCGGCCATAAAGCTGCTAGAGCCAGGCGGTGTTGGGAACAGTTTCTCTGGCTGCCTGAGGTAGGAACTGTCTCGACCACTGTTTGAAGCTGATGGATGAAGTGGGGTCAGAGGTGAAAATGTGTCATACGATGGGGTAGGGCAGGGGTGGTTGGCCAATGGTATCTGATGATCTGGTAGCCGAGCAAGTGATGAGGGTGTATCTCTTGCATACAGAGATTCGTGACGATCTGATACCAAAGCATCCATTCTTGTACGAAGATCCCCATGTGGAAGCAAGGATAACGAGTTCTCCAAACTGGTAATAACGCTGATGGGCAGGGAGCTAATGGGTGATTTGCTGTTTATTTCCCTTGAATCAAGAAGATGTGATTTGCATACCATTGCCTCCAACTGCTGTAGGCCGCTAGGGGAAGGACCAAGGCCACCATTGGCTGCTCGGTTATTGGCAGCACTCAGGCTCTTCAAATACTGGTCAAAGTATTCCTTATCCGCGTCTGACGTCTGCACCTGCTCTTGAAGAGAGTGGGGTAGAAGATCATATTTTTCAGACAAGGAATTGCTGTTGCTGTCTCGGATGACACTTTCTGGAGTTCTAATAGAGGACAAAGTCTGCTCCGAGTGGGTCATGCACTCTGAGACTGTTCTGTGTGGATGCTGGCCTTCGAGTGAGTTCATAGACTGCACCATTTCTACTGAGCCATGTGGCAGAGACATTTCCACTGATCCCTGTGAGTGATGCATTTCTACTGATCCATGCAGGTGATTCATCTCTACCGATCCATGTGGGTGACACATCTCTACTGATCCATGTGGGTGATTTATCTCTACCGATCCATGTGGGTGATTCATCTCTACCGATCCATGTGGGTGAAGCATTTCTGCAGACCCATGCGGGTGACTCATCTCCACTGACCCATGTGGGTGCATCTCTACTGATCCCAGAGGTTGCTGCATGTCTACAGAGGCCTGAGAATGCACTTCCATTGATGCTACAGAGGGCAATGCTGACACTGTGGCCTCGTCAGAATGCACTGAATGCTGCTGCATCAAATTAGTCGGAGGAGGGACAGAGAACGGTGTGTTGGGTGCAGGCACAGAAAACGGTGTCGTCGGACCAGGGACTGAAAACGGAGTCGGTGTCGGTTCCGGTTCTGGTTCCATTTCATCTTCAGAGCTCTCCACTGGAGGAGGTGCTGGTGCTCTGGGAGGAGTCAGTGGGATGTCAATGCTGACCTCATTATCTGAATAATCATCCACTGTCTGGGAAACATTTCTGTCCATGGCAAAACTATCAACTTTGTCTGATGACAGTAAATCATTGTCAGCTTCTGATTTGCTCCGAGCATGAGATTGTTCTTGTGGTAGCAATGTTCCGGGAGACTGATCCTGTGTTTCCTCCACCTCAGTTTCGTCATCTTCTAAATTCTCCCCATCAGACAGACCTCTGTATGGACTAGCACTGCCTTGCAACATCATCTCTTCAGAATAAGCTGGCGACAACGGCTTCTGTGGAAGAATCACAGCCTCCTCATGGACTTCAGTAGCTGCAACCTCCTTCTCTTCTGACACTGTGACAGCTGCACCGTCCTCTACCTTTGCTTTAACTTCTGTTTTCTTCTCTTGTTTCTCTTGAACAATCTCCTTTACTTGTGACACTAACTTTTTTCTACCAGGCTGGTTTCTCAGTATTAATTTAGAAGCTTTCGGAATCTTTCTGACTTCTTTGACTGTTGCTTTCTTCTTTGCCTTAATTCTGGCACTTGGTTTTCTTTTGGGTAGAGGAAGTTTGTCTCTCTTTTTAACCTCGGCTGGAGCATTTTTCCTGATGGCAGTAGTTGCCTTTCCAACAGCAGCTGCTCTAGGAGATAAAACAGGGGCCGACTCTTCCATCTTTCTTGTAGCAACTTTCCTTCGTTTTGGTGTAGAAATGCCAACATCCTGGCTGTCTCCTGGCCTGCGAGAGTCAGTTTCAGCTTTGGAGACATCACTGTTAATTGTCGTTAACTTTCTTTTGCTTCGTGTATGCATTTCAGATCTCACTAAGGAGCTGCTCATTGTTGCAGCGACAGGAGATTTGTTTCTTTGCAAGCGTTTCGGTGACTTCTCTATTGCAGTGTCATCTGTTAGTTGCTCTTTACCAGCCATTCTGTTTCCTACCGTATTCTTCTTCTTTCCTACATTTTTCAGGTTATCTGTTGTAGCTTTGTTGATTTCAGCTTGCTTTTCTTTTCCTTTCTTCCCCTGTTCGTGTTTTCCCTGCTTTTGTTTCATTTCCTGCTCTTTCTTTTCAATCTTTTCCCGTCTTTCTTGTTCTTTCCTTTCCAATTTTTCTTTCTTTGCCTGTTCTTTTTTCTCCAATTTCTCTTTCTTTTCTAATTCTTTCTTACCCACTTTATCTTTCTTTTCCATTTCTTTTTTCTCAATCTTTTCTTTCATTTCAGATAGCTTCTGTTCCTCTTTTTCTTTCTTTTCTAATTCTTTCTTCTCTAATTTTTCCAACTTTTCTAACTCCTTTTTTCTAATTCTTTCTATTTTTTCTATTTCCTTTCTTTCAGCTTTCTCCTTTTTCTCCAGCTCCTTCTTCTCAATCCTTTCTTTCCTTTCTTGATCTTTCTTTTCAGCCCTTTCTTTCTTCTCTTGTTCTTTCTGCTCAGCCTTTTCTCGCTTTTCCTTCTCTTTCATCTCCTGCAACTCAATTCTATGAAGTAACTCTTTGGGAGGTGGAGGCAGCGGAGTGAGAACAGTCAACATATTTTTATCTCGGCGGAACTGGCCAGGTGTTTCCTCATCTGACTCATCATCAGATTTAAACTCGTACAAATCCAAGAGATCTGGCTCACGTGTGGCAGTCTGTGTTCCCACACTCTGGTCGCAAGGAACCAACTTAGTCTCTTCTGTTCTAGTAAATAAAGAGTCCTTGACTTCAGTTTCTGGCAGAACACCAGCAGGATTCTCTGCTGCTACATCAGATGCTTCAACACCCACTGTGAGTGTTGCTTTTTCGAAAATCAGAGGCACAGTTTCATTCTGGCATTTACTGCTTTCTGAATTTACAGCTATAAATGCAACCTGGCCACCCACTACTTCAGATTCAGAAGCTTCAGTAGCTGGCAAAATCTGGCTATTTCCTTCATCTTCAGGTTCTAAACCTGCAATGCGTAGTGTCGCATGGCTGCAATCTACTTCAGGTGTTGCAGTTTTTAGAGCATTTGTTGCCTCTGTTAGTTTGTGATCTGTACGCTTGGGATAAGCCATAATGTCGAATACATGATGAACTTTCTTTTTATGCCAGAAAAGAGAGTTCAACTGCTTACATTTGAAGTCACACATGTGACAGCGGACTGGTTTATCATTCGTGTGGGCACGGAAGTGAACCTTCAAGTTGTCCGAGTGCCGAAACGATTTAGAACACCCTGGCCAAGTACAATGGAAGTTTCTTTCACCTTTAGGAGAAAAAAAAAGTAAAACAAAAGGATAACACATCAAGAAAGTCTCTAGTTTATGAAGGCAATTATGATCAGTAATCCAAATCAATTTTTGGACAATTCTTTATTTTTCATAAATTGTAAAATTGGGGTATACACGTGGACCTCACCTACAAGTCGACCTCAAGATTTTTAGTTCAAAATACCAAGTCTATACCTACCTAACACATTTTAATTACTGCCTTTGTTATACCACTTCTGAGGTGTAGGCAGGAGGGTCTTTGAAGCCTGAGGATTTACGGCCGCATGGCTAGGGCTGTCGCCACGACTGTGCAGGCGAGGATTTTATTTTGCCCCTAACAGAAAAAAAAATTCCCAGCCTTACCGAGGATTCAAACCGTGGTCTCCTGCCTGAGAGCTTAGCGTTCTAGCCGTTAGGTCAGCCGCTCCTACTGTATAAGTCTACCTCTAGTTTCTGAATGATATTTAGGGGCTTGAAAACTTGGCTTAGATGCCACACTTTACGGTAAAAACCTTATTGCTGATCCTCTTGATGCCATGCTAGATGTATCTGTCTTCTAAAAGTCCCACTTTCCCTCTGCTCTTGCAAGGCTGCAAGTTTTTATAACTCAATCTCATCAGTCCTACACTACTTTTGTGTGGAGGTCTCCGTCTTGCCTTCAGTCTTTCTCTTCTTTCCTTTATCTTCTTCTTCTCTGGCCTTGCTCTGCCTTTCAGCATCAGGTTTTCAAGAGACATTGGGGGGGGCGGGGGTGGTGTGAGCCTCGGTGTGTGGTGCGTAGAAGCTTTTTTAATTTATCAATAATTTGTGTGTGGACCTCAAGTTTGTTCCACTGTGTCTAAGTGACAGAAGTTAAGCTACGTTACATTATCACCATCAACATCACTGCATAGTGAGCATTCCCATGTGTGCTCAGTCCTCACATGCAGCAGCCACTCCTACTCTTCTTCTTAGCAGTCACCAGCTGTAAATCTGATGGAAAGTTCTAGTTGTTTGCCCACTTCAGGACTTCCAACTTGTTCTAGAACTTGGAATTTTGCATGCAAATTTGTTTTAGAGACCTGGTTTATTTGACTCTTTTTTGCCTTGTTACCCTATCTCAGGGGCTGCAAGATCTGGTAGAGAATTATTTGGGAGTTCCCTGGAATCTTCTATATTATGGGGGGGGGGGGGGGGGGGGGGGGGGGTGTCGATAACTTTTTAATCTACTTTTGCTTTTGTTTGCCCAAAATAGATTATCTGCAAGATTATTTCTAGTATGAAGTTCTAAATGGGTGGCGGCGTAGGCGGGCCCTGAAAAGGACCGACAGCCTCCAGGTATGTGGGTTAGGGTTAGCATTAGATGCAGCGATGCTGACAGGTCAAGGAAATTCGCAGCAAAGATAGCACAACGTAAGAACACAGCTGCCAAATAAGGCACAGTGGTGGTGACGAACAAACAAAAGTAACACACATTGGACATCTTCTCCTTTTTTTGCCAATATCTGCCTATGCCGCTAGGCATCACAGTTCATCAGACGATCAGCAGCCAAGCCAGGGCGCGCTCGGTCGCTTGATATGCCCTGAGGTTAGGCAGTCTCAAGGTGTCAGTGACTCCTTCAATCCATCTTCTTCTCTGTCTTCCCATGCCTCTTGGTGTTTCGATTTTCAGGTTGTACGCTCTTGCTGCTGGCATCGGTGGTTTTATCCTCATTAGATAGCCAAACCCTTTCATTCTTTTTTTCTCAATAAATTTGTCGATGGATGTTGTTCCAACAGTTCTTGTGATCACACCGTTTCCTACTCGGTCTCTTCTGGTTTTAATCACAGCCATTCTCAAACATTTCATCTTACAGGTGGTTAGTTTTCTTTCATGTTCTTTTGTCAATGTCCAAGTCTGACATTGGTAACCTGAAGGCGGTATAAATATCGAATTGATAATTTGTCTTTTTTGTCTCTACTGGGATAGCAGGGAGTTTTTTAATTGGAGCAAGTTGATACGTGCCACTGTTGGCTTGTTGGATTCTCGTTTCTATCTCTCCTGGATATGATAACGCAATAGAACAACCAACACATGACAGTCCTAAAATATCAGAATTTTAGTGTTTTACAGTCAGTGTTAAATGAACACTGGCTAAGACTAACCCTAACCCAAATTCCCCCTCCCTCACCCCCATATCATAAGACATTCTGGGAAACTCTCTACAAATTCCCTATGAAATCTTGCAGCCCCCGAGATGGGGGTGAAAAAGAGGAAAAGAACCGTCAATTCGTGTGCAGTCTGCTGGTTTCTCACCTCTTGGGCAGATGCACTCTGACTCAGAAGGAAACACTCCAAATAAGAAGCCTCTTATGACATGCTTGTTAGGACTATTCTTTTTTCTCCTCACAATAAGGACTGCAGCAATTCCAAGGTCTCCTTGATGATTTCAAGCAACACTTTAATATTGGTCAAGCTGCAGCTCTGTTTCATCAATCCAAAACCAGGGGGATCTGGCTGACGCTCAACACTCAGGGGAAGGATGAGACGGATATACAATCAGACGGTTACTGGCGCCATCAGAACTGGAACTCTTCGCTTGCTGCTGAAGATGGGGGATGGAGCACTTATAGGAGTTTCTTGAGTGCTGTGATGTCGAATCTCAATGCAACATAAAACACTCAAAATAAATCCAAGACGACCTTTGTCTGGACTTCTCATGGTGGGACTTCAGCTTTCTTCTTCTGCCGTCTGTCTTCCCGAAAGAAGCGGAAGTCAATAATATTGAATACAAGATCCTACTAAAATATCTGCACCTGGTCATTAACAGTAATTACAAAATTTTACGTGCTCAGGGAAAATTTGTGGACAGGCAGCCCAAAGGTTCTGTCACCCAGCTATTCTTAAGGGCTTGGTGCAACACTATGAGCTGTGAAAATTATTTTTTCTGCTATGCTTACAGCATGTTATTGACTGCGTTAAAATAAAAGGTGGCCAATTAAGTCTATAATGGTGTGTACTTTTGCAGGTGCAATGCAAGCTTTTGTAAATGACTGTCTGCACCAACAGTGCACTACCAGGCTGGTTTCTCAGTATTAATTTAGAAGCTTCTGGAATATTTCTGACTTCTTTGACTGTTGCTTTCTTCTTTGCCTTAGTGCCTTTCTTCTTGTGCAGTACCTCTTCTTCTTCTTCGCGTTTACCGGCTGCAAACTCCAGCGGAAAGTTCTGGTTGTTCGTCCCTTTCTAGACTCCATTCCAGTTCCAGAACCTGAATGTTGCGTGTACATCCATTTCACAGGTCTCGATTGCATGCAGACTATTGGCTCCCTGCCTCTTAGGCATATGTACTCCGACTTTGAGAGAAGCTCCCAATTAGTCAACTCTTATGACATGCTTCTGGGCAGGCAGTGGTTCTATTCTTGTTTTCCCCCACAATGGGGCCCCAGAATCCACACAGGGATTGTGCAGTACCGTTAGTGTTACTAAGGCAATAATAAACTACAAACATTCATTAACTGCTGCCTGCACAGAATAGAGGGAATTAAATGGTATGATAGAACAACTAATGTAGAGCTTTGAGAGAGAACTAAGCAAGCTCCAGTGACCAAGAGGTGAAGAAAAGGCACTGGCGTTGGATAGGACACACTTTGAGAAAATCTGACAACAATAAAATGTCTTTGCACTGGAACCCACAGGGTTCTTCATAAAGGAAGACTAAATTAAAAAACACATGGAGTAGGGAGGTAGAGAGTGAAGTTAAAAATATGGGGAGGAAATGGGGAAAGCTGCATGCGATAAAAAAGGATAGAACGACCTGGCTTGAGTTGGCTTAGGGCCTATGCTCCACTGGGGCTAAAAAGGCGGAAGACCGTTAATGTTGGCACATTTGACAGTACCTTGTGCATTTTAACTTTGTGGGTGCAAGCTTCAATATTTTGTTTGGACAAGTTTTTCAATAGTTTTCAAATGGTTCTGCAAAAGACATTTTGTGTGACTTAGAGCAGTTATGGAACATGGAACCACTTGTCTGCAGTGTTGTTAGAACTCTGAGTAACGACTAGCAAAATCCTTTTGCAATCTTTAGCTTTTACAAAGAAAAGAAATGACTAGTACATACCTGTGTGTGTTATGGCATGGCGTTTCAGATGGCTACGCTTGAAGAAAGAATAGTTACACCCTTCTACTGGGCAAAAGAATTTCTTTGGTGCCAGCCGATGAAACTCCTCCTGGTGGTTTTTCATGAATTTGGAAGTTCTGAAACTGCGATTGCACCCGGTGATATTGCACATGTAGGGCCTGATGGCTGTGTGGATCAGTTGATGACCTCGGAGAGCTCCTTGCGTCTTGAATGTTTTCTCACAGGTCTGACAAGCAAAAGGTCGCACCAATGTGTGCACCTGCCCAAAAAAAGAAAAAAATAATAATAATGTGATGTATTTGTTTTATCATCTATATGAGATCATGCATCTTTCCTGTTGCAAGTTATGAGTGTGAATCATGGACTTAATTCTTGTTCTTGTTCTTCTTCAGTATTCTGAGCCCTTGAGGTTCATTGCTGCAGATATCACCCGCCTCCATTCATCTCTCTGGTTGACCTTCTCTTTCCAGTTGGTGACACCAAGTGTTTGCGGGTCTGCCTGGACATTATCTCTCCATTGTCTTCTTGGTCTACCTTGTGGTCTGTGACCATTCATCTCCCTTGTGTATACAGTTTTCACTTCTCTTTCATCGACATTCCAGTCTATTACTCTCTTAATTAGTGAAGAAAAAAATCAGAACTTTTGAACTGAAAGGTTGCAGACAAAGTTCTTAGAATACCATGAGCCAAGATGAAGAAAAATACCACACACATCCTACATGACCTGAGCATCGAGGAGAATTGGCTCATAAACAGCATCCTGTCCTAAAAGCTGAAGTATTTTGGTGATGTTCTCGTTTGCGTTCCCCAGATGTAAAACCCCACAGAAAAATCTGGTTGTTCGTCAATTTCTGGACATTGTTCCAGGACATGAGTTTCACATATCTTTCTTTTTCTTCTTCTGCCTTTCTAGCCCCCAATAAAGCACAGGCCCTCAACCAACTCAAACCAAGTCATTCTATCTTTTGCTATCGCATGCAGCTCTCCCCATCTTTCTAACTTCATTCTCTGTTTTACAAATCTTGCTTAATTGTAAGCAAACTGTTGCTTACCTGCCTCTCAGGCAGATGGACAAAGACTTTGAAGAAAGCCCCCAATTTGTCGACTATTACTACATGCTTGTTTGTAGGGGAGGCAGAGGATCTATTCTTGTTTTCCCCACAATGGGGCCCCAGAATCCAAAAGGGGATATTTTGGTGATGTTAAATGGAATGGTGGCCTGGAGAAAGAGGTGATGGAGACTACAGTTTCCAGAAAACAAGACAGAGCTCAGTGAGTGAAGGTGGACTTCTTCTTCTTCTTAAAGCCCATGCCATGTGGCGTTGGTAGTCATGTCTATCCACAACCTTCTGTCTCGTGTACTTTCAATCAACTCTGACACAGATGATCTTCCAGGCCATCATGTCAAATTGTCCAGCATCTGTTCTCTCGGTCTCCCTCTGCCTTTCCTCCTCTCCGACTTTTCTACCGTCACGATGTACTCCAATTTTCTCCTTCTCATCACATGACCAAAGAATGTAGATTGTCTCTTTCTGATGTGGACAATCAGTTCTCTTCGTGGGACAGTTTGAAGAGTCCTCGTTACTCTTTTTTTATCTGTCCAGGGTATTCTTATCATTTGTGGTGGACTAGGACAGTCAAAATGCAGTCGCTATGAACATAGTTCTGAAGAATTGTTGCTTTCTTTTTAGCCAGCCCCAAATGACGTCACAGGATAGTCCAATATTTTAGAGGGTGGTAAGAGTGGGTTTTCCATGGTTTCTGTGCTTTAGCGCATTTCTTCCAAGGCCAAGGTTTTCGTGCGTTTACCCAACCCTAACCCTTACCCTAACCAAAACTATACACTTAATGTACCACCCCCTGAAATATTTGACTGTCCCGTGACCTCTGGATTTCCCATGTTTGTGGTCGGCTAATAAGAAAGTACCGAAGAATTTGCTAGAGAAAAACAGACTTTCAGCTGTGCCGTGACAGTAAGTTCTGTAAAGGACCTGCAGACTGATGCTGAGGATCTGTTCTATGCAAGAAAAACTTCAGCACAAAATAAAACTTACCACAGACACATCATCATCATCCTGTAGCATAAGGCTATTCAACTGCCAGCCTGCAGGTCACATCTGGCCAGCAGAGTTCTAAGCAAGTGGCCCACGGATCATAGCCAGTTGTGTTGTATTATACTGATGATTTTTCTATGCTTGGGCTAGGCCTCTGTCCCGTAACGATCATGATAATTCTCATTTTTTGCAAATCTGACCCCTGAATAAACTTGAACAGCCCTGATGTAACAGATCCTTCATCACCATCATCATGTGCCCTGCCAACTGGCGTAGGCCCTCATGTGTCTCCACAGATCACGATCCCTGGTTGCCTGGAATAGCTCTCTTGATGATATCCCTCCATGCCATCATTTAAGCCCATCCAGCATCATCTCTCTTGGTTTGCCTCTACCCCTTTTTCCACTGATCATTCAGTTGTCACGATGTTCTCTAATGTCTCTCTTAGCATTATGTGGTGAAAGAAAAATGTTTGTCTCTTTCTTATTGTTGTATTTAAAGATCTACTTTCATTAGCCTCTTTCAAACAATCGTTGTTAGTTACTCTGGCCGTCCAAGGTATTCGTAACATTCGTCTCAGAAACCACATCTTTGTTACTTCCAAATTCTTCTTAATTTGTTCAGTGACATTCTAAGATTCGCTGCCATACAGCAGAACTGGTTCTATCTAACATTTTAGCACCCTCTTTCTGACATTAAATGAGAGTGATTTATTGCAAAAGATATTTTTCATTTTCTGCTTTTGCTTGACCTATTCTGCTTTTAATCTCATCACACATTTTCTATCTGATGATATGACTGTTCCCAGATATTAAAATTTATTGACTTGGTTAAGTCTTTTCCCTTCCACTGAGATACTACAATGTGGAATTATCTTCTTCTTTGATATAACCATTACTGTTCTTAATTTTCAAGATCCTTAGTAGAAGAATGTTATTCTAGCCATAGCAGCTACAGACTCTCTATCTCTCTCTCTCTCTCTCTCTCTCTCTCTCTCTCTCTCTCTGTGTGCGTATGTGTGTGTGTGTGTGTGTGTGCCTCTGTGTGTGTTCACCGGCTGTAAACTCTGACGGAAAGTTCTGGTTGTTCGTCCACTTTTGGACTTGGGTCTTCAGAACCTAAGCTCTGTGTGCACATCCATTTTAAAGATATAGCTTATTTGTATACAGACTACTGGTTCCATGTCTCTCAAGCAGATGAACTCTGAAAGAAACACCCCTAATTAGTCACCTTTTAGGACATACTTGTTAGGGGAATAGTGGGTCAATAGGGGGACAATGGGGCCCTGCATGGCGAAGAGACTCTTCAGTATCCAAGATAACCCTCAGCCCTGTTTATTTTTATGTCCAAAACATATCTAAAATCCCACATCCATCTTCTGCTGGTCACTTCCTGCCTCTTCTTTCAGGAACACACCTTCCTGTCCTCTTTCCACACCCTGGCAAAGTCCAATCTGGCGTCTCCTTTCTTTAGTGACTGTAAAATGATAAATGATCCACATCTATATGTTACCTCAGGAAAGATACAAGTTCTCTTCTTTTTCTTTTTCACGTTTACAAGCTGTAAACTCCAGGTGAAAGTTCTGGCTGTTCATCTGTGCACCTCTGGACCTGCGGTAAACTCTGGCAGAAAGTTCTGATTGTTCGTCCACTCCTGGACTCTGGTCTTTTTTTTTCCAGAAAATGGGTTTTGTGTGCACATGTATTTCACAGATGTGGCTTTTTTGTATGCAGACTTCTGGTTCCTTGTCTTTCAGGCAGATGCACTCCGACTTTGAAGGAATCAATCCTAAATAGTCACCTCTTACGTCATCCCCTTCAGGGGAGCAGTATAAGTTTCTTTTTTTCCCCTCAAAATGGGCCATGGAACTCACACGAAGATGTAATATATTATAAACTACGTGTGCATATTTCTGGATTGTTCCGCAACTAACTGTTTGTTCACCAGTTTTTTAAATGCGACAGTGAGGGACATTTGATTTGATTTGCACTGGCACAGAGCAAGTATGGGGCTATGAGGCTGAAACATTGACTAAGACTAAAAAAAAGCCACCCGGGGGTCTCCGTGGATAAATGGGCAAGCAGCTTGCCTCGCGCCCTGGGTTCATTTCACAGCAGCGCCTTTCAGTTTATGGTTGCAATTTGGACGGAGATTCCTGGTTCACGAGTGCAAATTTTTACGGCGACCCCAGGTGATTTTCGCAGGAGCTAAGGAGGTCATGATCTGTGCGACGCTCTGGGCAAGCAGCTAGCTGTTCTGCAGACAGAGACTGAGCCACATGGAATAAAAACCCAGCAAATGGAATTGAATCTTTTACAAAAAAAACAAAACTTATTTCCCTTAGAAAAAGTGATCGTTTCCCTTGACCTAAACATTTTGGTAAACATTTGAGCATTGTAAATAACCACTAAGAAGCAAACATTAGCTCACCGCCGAGACAAACATTAGTAACCTAAAAGAAAAGCTAATAAAAAGGGAGGGGCACCTTTCTGTGCCTCCTCATGTTGTCATGTGTGGAGAAGAGCTTGTTGCAGTCGGGACACTGCACATCCCGGTCCCTGCAGGCGTGCATGTTCTTCTGGTGTTTATGTAGGTTGGCCTTGTAGTTAGTGCTGTAGTCACACTGTTCACATCGGAACCTCTTGGGCTGGTTAGGGAAGTGTGTGTGGTAGTGAACCTGTCCGGGCAGAAAAGCAGCAAAGTATGATGATTCTCAACTCATACAAATAAACTTAAAATCATTCTTAACTGATCACAGCATAACATGGTGATTCTCAACTGCTTTCAAACAGAATAAAATGATTATTCTCAAAAGATAACAGCATATAATACGTTTTCTCAAACAGACTTTTTTCTTCTGTCGTCTCACTGATACCATGTTGTAGTCCAGTGTTGTGGTTTTTTTGTTTCACTGTTACCATGTTGAAGTCCAGTTTTGTAGTTTTGTTGTCTCACTTTTACCATGTTGTAACCCAGTGTGGTGGTTTTTTCATCTCACTGTTACCAGGTTGTAGTCAGGTTTTGTAGTTTTCTCTATTTGTCTTGCGCTTCTCGGGTGGCTTGGGTGATGAATTTGTTCGCTTTAATTACAGATAATGGTGATTCTAAACATAGACAATGGTGATTCTAAACACAGACAATGATGATTCTACACACAGACAAATGTGATTCTTAACATAGAAAACTGTGATTTTAAACAAAGGCAATGGTGACAAGTGATTCTTAACATGAAAACTGTGATTCTAAAATAGACCATGGTGATTCTAAACAAAGACCATGGTGATTCTAAGATAAACAATGATGATTCTAAACATGAAGAATGGTGATTATAAACACAGACAATAGTGATTCAAAACATAGACAACGGTTTTTATAAACATAGACCAGAGTGATTCTAAAGACAGACAACAGTGCTTCTAAACACAGACAATGGTGATTCTAAACACAGACAATGGTGATTCTAAACACAGACAATGGTGATTCTAAACACAGACAATGGTGATTCTAAACACAGACAAATTTAGGTTCTTAACATAAGAAATGGTGATTCTAAACACAGACAATGGTGACTGGTGATTCTGAACACAAGCAACAGAAAAAACGATAATACTAACCCTGAGTGAGGATGCATATCTGAAGACTTTGTCACATTCTGTACACCTGAAAGGTGTAGGCCCCTGGCACTGTTGGCTGTGCTGCTCGATGGTCACCTGGTCACATTTGATGTAACGGTTACACATCTTACACAATTTCATATTGAGTTTGTCCCTGTGATCCTCAATGACGTGTTGAGTCAGTTTGATTCGGTCGTCGGCCACATGGCTGCATCTTGAACAGGGAAACACCCCGTGTGTGAAGAGATGGCGGTTCAAGGATGCCATTTTGGTGCAGCCGTAGTCACAGTGCTGGCATCTGTACGGCATGCTGATGTCAAGCATGTGGACTTTCTTCATGTGCCGGCTCAGTGCTGATCTCCCCCTCGACTGGTGATCGCAATGATCACATTTAACAAAGTCTAATCTTTTCTTATATCTCCTGACCGGTTTACCAGAGTCTTCATCACTCTCCAGACCAGTGTCCCTATTCTCCGCTGGTTGCAGGTTGGCACTCACCAGCTCATCCTTCAACTCCAGCTCATGTACTGGAGTGTCCTGCTCTGATCCACCTGAAGTTGAAGCGAGACTTTCCCCAATATCAGAAGTCTCTGCTCGACTCAGACTCACAATGTCCTTGTCAGCGGCGACGTCAGACTGACCAGCATTGGCGACATCAGACTGACCAGCAATGGCAGAAGCAAAAACCGCCCCTCTTCCACTAGATTTTCTGGTCTTGCTAGCTCTGAGGCTGCCTTTGGTGTCTTTCCTTGCAGTCAAAAGTACATCTGCAGCTTGAGAAAGACCATCCTTTGCTTCAGTCTCAGCAGATGTATCTTCTGCATCTGGCTGAACTAACTCAGGAGGCTTACCACACATTCCAACACTTTTCTTCTTCTTAGGTTTTCTCGGTTTTGAAATTACAATAGTATCTTGAGCTAGCTGTCCGTTATCAGAAACACTGTCTGAGACAAGCACATCGGGTCCGGGTCTGTGCCCTTCCGCTGAACTAAAATCTTGTTTAATATTAGTGATACACAATGAAACCTCCCCAGCCAAAACATCACCTGATGTTAAAATTTTATTTTCTTTCCCATTTTTATTTCCAGCTTCTACTTTTTTCAGTTTTCTGATACTCTTTGTCTGTTTTTTAGTGTCTGCATTCTTGATAACTGATACTAGCGACACAGAGTTGAACACGTCCCCAGCTACAAATGCCAAAACACTGTCAATGTTTTTAACTGTTGAATGACCTTCTTGGCATTCATTTGTGGTCCCATCTGTTGCAGCAATGATTTTTGGACAAGATGCGACTAAGTTCAATGTTCCATTGCTTGTAGAAAGTTTCTCACTTGTAATGCCCAGGTCAGGTTGGTCTAAAGTATCAGTATTATTGGCTAACTGATCATGTTTGCTCTGGTTAGCATTGATGTCTGTGTGCACCTTGCTCCTCACCTCCGGGATGTCCTGAAACTGATCTCTGATTGCTGCCTCTTCTTCTTCAGTCAAGGAGAACTCCTCCAGGGGCTCAGGTACGTAGACAAAGTTAGCAATAACATCGTCAATTGTTAGTGAATATCTAGTTGTTCTCTCATCACGAGACCTGTCATCCATCGGTGTCTCTACTCTCTTTTTAGGAGACCTCTTAGTCTTTGATGCTGATTCTTTTTCCAGAAAGACAGATTCTTGACAAGTATGTAATGAACCAGTTGTAGATTTCTGAACATCGCATGCCTGACAGTCCAAAGAGGAGGAATTCTCAGGCATGGAAGATTCACTTCTAGATGAGTGTGAATACTTTACAGTGGAAGCGGGCAACTGGTCTAAAAGGGAACAGCCTTTGGTTTCTATGTCTTGGCATGCAGCTTCTGCAGTAATCTGACTCTGGAGATTACTGGGCAATAAGTCTGAATCTGACAATCTTTGTGAGACCGCAGGAGAGTTTGGCTGCCCAGAAACTGAGCAGGCTTCTTTCTCTGCTAAAGTTGCCAAGACAATTGCACTGTTATGGGCAGAATGGTTTGCATTCAAAATACCTGAAGACAAATTGGTATGAGGTAATACAGTCTGGGGCACATCTGCTAGTGTTTCACTTTGATTCATGACACTGATGTCCTCATGTGTCTTTAGGACCGCCTCAGGCACCCTCCCTTCAGAGATGCCAACAGATTGTGATTCCTGTAATGAACATACCTCAAGATTATCTTCTGAATTCTGGAAATCCAGACCTGTGGTAGAGTGAATCTGAGACTTGCATGATGTTGATAAGTTCATTGGCTCAACCTGCTCCGGAAGATGGTGAAAGCATGCAGGCTTAGCTGTAATTTGATTGGCAGACAAGAGGTCAAGGTGACTCAGTGATGGAGAATGTTCCCTGGTTGTGACCCTGACCTCAGGGACTGAGGTCTGACAACTCAAAGCATGACTGCCAATAGCATGATGTGCACTGCTATAAGGATGACTATATAGTTCAGATATACGACACTGGGCCTCTGGGAAACTGTTTGAAATGCTAGGTGATGATGTTGATAAGTTAAACAATGCAGTGTTTATCAATGACGACTGTAGGTCATTCTGTGGCAAGATGAGTGTCGGCGATTCGCATGAAAAGTTTCCTGAGATCAATGACTGGCTGGCCGTGCTGACCGAAGATGTCGGCTGGTGCCACAATAAGTGTTCTATGCTGTGTTTTCTGGCCCCGTCGAGTGAAGAATTCAACGGCAAAGACAAACTTGCATCGGTCTGTCCTGAACACACATCTGGGGCAACTCCGACCGAGGTAACAGCTGACTTGGTCATAGTGTCAAGGGCCAATGCTTCAGATGCAGCATTTTCAAACTTTTTAAGTAAGCCTCTTCGCTTCTTTGGTGGTTTCAGAATAATCTTACTGTGAGTGGATTTCTCCAAACTATGTGAAGTTTGTGGATTATTAATAGTCAATTTTTCAACAGGTACTGTGTCAGAAATTCCTGCAAGTTTTCCGTCATCAGGTTTCCTGCATTCAGTAAATTCACTGCAATCAGCAGGTATTCTGCATTCAGCAAGATTACTGCAGTCAAAAGCTTTACTGTATTCAATAAGTTTACAGCCATCAGCAGGCTTACTGCATTCATTAGAGCTGACACTAACAACGTTTTTGCATGACTGTGTCTGGGATGTTGCCACTGCTGCTGCGTCACCAACATCGGTTAACGAAGAACTAACTACAGGCTCTGACGATTCTACAGATGCAGGATCTAACGAAGTAGTTGCTGGTGACGACTGCACTGGTGATCTCGAGTTGGCAGCGACCATTTTCCCATTCTTTTCTACCAACAGCACGTAAGTCTTCCCAGTGCCGTCAAGGAGCCGGGCACAGTCATTGGCATTCAAAACCACTTTTGGGGATGCAGATCTGATGTTGTGTTTCTGTTCCACCGTAGTCTTCGGATTCTTGTCAACTTTTGTTCTCATACTGGATTTCTTAATGCAGTCAGCTGTAGATGACCTAAATCACCTACCAACATCAGCTCACCCCTCAGTGTATATGGTGCTGAGAATAAAATACATGAACACTTTAGGCAGAAAAACATGATCAGTTAAATCTCTTTCGTGCTTTCTAGTGAACACTTATGACCCTTTTAATTTATTTAATTCATTCGTCTCATTCTGCACTTTCTTTTAACAGCATGTTTGGTTCGTCGTATTGTGGTTTACAGTCAGACTGTGATATGAGAAAGCTTCAAATATAAACCTTAAAAGCCGAATGTGTCGATGTGATAATTACAGTTTAAAGATGGCTCACCCCACTTTTGACATGCACCAAAGCGGAACAGCGTTCTGGTATTGTTTTTTTTTCCACGCTTCAAATGAGTTCTGATATACGTTTTCATCCATGCACTGGAAGTGGGCCGATAAGAGTCAGCGGATTTCAGAGCACTGCATCTCTGAGGACCACCAACTCTGAGATCCCCTGCCAGCTCTATTTATGCGCATATAAGACACTATCCAATGTGCCCAATGAGGACGAGTGGCAGGAGTCATGAATGAGGTTCCGTAAAACCAGCAAAGAGCCAGCTGGCACCCAAGGTGGGGTACAGAGTATCTCCTTATACATATTACAACAGTGTTAACTTTCCCTCACACCTGTGACAGGAACCACCGTGCCACAGGTAAACAAATAAGAATTCAGATATGTCCCTAATGTTAAAGCTGCAATAACATGTAAGTGTTACAGTCAAAGAAACACATAAATGCAAAATTACAACATGTTAGGTGATATGTACACACAAACAAATGCTGAGGGAAAAACAAAAAGAGATAGTCATCAATGAAGAACTAACAACAATGTAAGACACAAGTGGTAAATGATTCTGAACACCAAGGAATCAAATGGTTTTGTCATTTGGTCAGAATGGAACAAAATCAGCCAGCACCTAGAATGTACTACATAAGAACAGCAGACTACAAGGCAAGTGGGCTACCAAGAAAGAGATGGGCGGAGGGCGTAAAAGAGATGCTACAGAAATGTCCCCGTGTGGGTTTCGGGTACTCCATTGTGGGGGGAAAAGAATAACAGACCCACTGCCTACCCAAAAGTAGGACATAACAGTAGACTAATTGGGAGCTTCCTTCAAAGTTGGAGTATTTCTGCCTTAGAGGCAAGGAGTAAACAGTCTCATGCAAATGAGTTAGATCTGTGAAAAGGATGTACAGGCAACACTCAGTTTCTGGAGCTGGACTAGAGTCCCGAAGTGGACAAACAACCAGAATTTCCGCCAGAGTTTACAGCGGATGAACGCAAAGAAGAAGAAGACTACAGAAATGCAATTTGACAATAACAGAAGCTAAGCAGCTAGCAAAAGTCAGGAAACTCTCTCTGATGCTTTACTGCAAAAGTAGTAGGACAAAAGAAGACGAAGTTACAGTAACTGAACTTTCACACAAACATCATCATTACCATCATCATCATCATGTGCCCTGCCAACTGGCGTAGGCGCTCATGCGTCTCTACAGATCACCATCTCTGGTTGCCTGGATCAGGTCTCTTGATGATATCCCTCCATGCTATCGTTTCAGCCCATCCAGCATTATCTCTCTTTGTCTGCCACTACCCCCTTTTTCCACTGATCGTTCCAGTTGTCAAGATGTTCTCCAATGTCTCCCTTCTCATTATGTGGCCAAATAAAAGTGTGTATTTCTTATTGTTGTATATAGAGATCTACTTTCATTAGCTTCTTTCAAGTAATCGTTGTTATTTACTCTGGCCATCCAAGGTATTTGTAACATTCATCTTAGAAACCACATCTCTGTTGCTTCTAAATTCTTCTTAATTTGTTCACTGACATTCCAATATTTGCTGCCATACAGCAGAACAGGTTCTGTGTAACATTTTAGCACCCTCTTTACATACATCTTTTTAAAAAAAAAAAAACTCAGATCAACTTTACCTCTGGGCCTCAAAACCAGGTCAGCCCATCTCCAACTCGCTGGTGCAGTGTGTCCCCAAGTGAAAGCAGAATCCAGAAACTAGTTTACACAGACTGCTCATGTCTGAAATTAGCATACAAGGGCTAAAGGTCATACTATGGTAATGCCGGCAAAAAATATGTTTTATCATTTTATACAATGAAGAACTCATTACATGACTTTCAGTCAATATGGTGGATAGGCTTTGTGCTGTGAACTGCCGCTTGTGAAAATGGCATGCTGGCAGACAACTGGTGATGCCTTATGCGATTAATTGTGTGTACAACTGCTGATCTGTTGTACTGCTGCTTCAATTGATCATAAACTGCATTTCTTCTTCTTCTTTCGTTCGCATGAAATAAATTGTCTATATCTGCAAAGCCGTCTCTTGTATGAATTTCACTGTCTTTTGTAATTCACTAAGCGGCCCGTAAAGTTTGACTTCCACAAGTGTCTCTTTTGGCCAAATGTTTTGCCTGAAAGCGTTGAATATGGGACAGTCTTGAAGGATGTGATCTGTTGTTTCAGGTGCCAGTCCACAAGTACACATGGCCGATTGGCCAATCTTAAATTTGTTGTACATGTGGGAGCGAAGTCTATTGTGCCCTGTTCTAAGGCGAAGGATAATAACTTGCTCTGGTCTGTCCATAATATGGTAATCATCTTGTGCCAGTTTCGGTGGCATTCTGATTGATTTGATCATTCTCTTCTTCTGTTGATAAGAGACTGGTATGTCAGGTTGTTCTTCAGCTGCACCTTCCTTAGCTAGTTTATCAGCTTTTTCGTTTCCGGGAACTCCACAGTGGGAAGGTATCCACTGCATTACTAATTTACAGCGGTTGCCTAGTTCGGATAATAGTGTCCGTATGCTTGGTAATTTTCCAGACTGGAGTGACTGAAGTACTGCTTTTGCATCTGTCAGGAATACCACTGGTTGTGAAAAATACCCTGTATTTAGTAGTTTCTCTACCGCTATCTTGATGGCTTGAACTTCTGCATCATAGTTGTGACAGTGCTTTCCCATTGGTAATTTGGCTGTATCCCTGGTATTATTAGGATACTCAATGTACACTCCCGCACCTCCGTTTCTGACTGCGCTTTCTGCTGACCCATCTGTGTAAACACGGACCCAAAGGTTCTGCGGGTATTCATCATCAAGTAAACTGAGGGTGGCTGTTTTGCGCTGCACACTGTTTTGTTCTTCCTTGTCAAATACCCCTTTCACTTCAGTCTTGATGTGTATTGGAAACTTATACTCCTCTCTCCAGGGGGTCCGTTCTGGGACAGCATTTAAGGATCTATCAGTTGCAGGTAAATCAGTGGTTTGTCTGCCGAGCCGTTTGGCCTGGTGGATAAAACTACTTCTCTTTAGTCGTCCCAAAGCTAAATTTTTGAATCTTTCATTCATAGGGTGACTGGGCATACTAAGAAACTTTTCTGCTTGTAAAAGCATCTTGGTGTCTCTGCGTTCACTTAGTGCTTGGGTCATCCCCATTTTCTCCATCACAGCTATAGGTGTTGATTTCATACTGCCTGTGGTAACTCTGAGTGCTTGATTTTGCACTTTGTCTAATTCTTGCAATGTGGTTTTTGATGCTGAACTCCATGCTGTTGATCCGTATTCAAGATGTGGTCGAACACTTTGTTGGTAAACTTTTCTAAGTATTTTCCCGCTAGCACCCCATGTGGTTCCACTTAGTTTTCTCAGAATGGCTACCCTCCTTCTGGCTTTGGTTGCTGCCTTGTTGATGTGTTTTCTCCATGTTAATCTATCAATAAACTGCATTTCTAGTGTCAGGCTGTTTGTGTTGGCCCTTCTGATGGCTGCCTTATCCATTTAATACATGTGTATACCACTGGGACTGGGTCAGTGTCAATTTGTTTCACAAGGCACAGTGACGGACATTCTGTGTGGTTTTCGTTGGCACAGGAACGGAGCTGCTATGGGGCGACCTGTTTGCTATGAGGTTGGATCTGTATTTACCTAATGCAATAAATCCCTGTCAGTGTAAGTTACAAACAGAATTCTCGCAAGCCATATGGAACCAGTTTAACCCTTTGGAGACGGAGCCTTTTTAGAGTATCGGTGCCAAGAAGACAGAGCCTTCAGGAGGGGATTCTCATAGTTTATACACAAAAATTTATTTTAAAAATTAAAGCGTTTAATTAACATATATAAATAACTATATATATTTGGGTAGGAAATTGATTGAACTAACAGAATATTTTGAATCAAACTAAAATCTAAACTTTTTTTTTTTAATTAACTATTCTGATCTGCATAATTTATGCAAGCAATTTATTTTTAAACTTGGGAAAAAACATAACTAACCTGAAAAATGTAGGTGAATTTTTGTATGGATGAAGCTTCAATAAGTCCTAATGACTGTATTTTGAAAGTAAGACCCTTGGAGGCCTTTTAGGCACGTCTGGCACATGGTTCTACTCATTTTCCTGCCTCCAGCTATGTTTTGGTTGCTATGACACAACAGTTTTTTTTGCCATTTTTAGGCACAGGTAACCCCAGAAAGAAGTCGATGTAAAATTACAGAACACATCAAACTTTCTTGAAAGCCGTCAATGAACAGCCCACATGTGCAAGAAATGTGAAAAGCAGTCTGATTGGCTGGGATGAAAATCTGAAAGCAAATATCAAGGCTTCTATTATAGAGGGCCGGCCAATCGGCCCAGATGTTCTATTGGCTACTTTGTGTTGGGCCGATATTTCAGCCGAGTCGTCTCCAAAGGATTAAACATAAGCTTTTTCCGTGTGGGTTCCGGAGCCCCATTGTGGAGAAAACAAAAACTGACCCCCTACCTCCCCAACAAGCACATTGTAGGAGATTTTACTAGAAACTTCCTTCGAAGTTGGAGTGCCTCTGCCTGAGTGGCAAGGAACCACCAACTGCACACAAATAAGCCAGTAAAACCGATGTGCACGCAAAACTCAGGCCCTGGCACAAAGCCAGAATCGAAGTGATTAAACAACCAGGACTTTCTACCAG